AGAAATAGAGAACAATTTAAAATGTATGTTAAATAATTTATATTTCAACGATACGGCACGAGCTGCCGCTGTTACATGCCGCGCATGGCCACAAAATATCTCCCAGGGGGTATGTTCTGTGATTGACATCTCGAACGTCGTGGAGCTGCGTGGAGGTGTGACGTGTCAGTGTTTGAACCTTCTGACCTGAAATAAAATTTCATTCGGTTTCCAACTAGACTTCTGGTGTAACAAGTTTAATTCCTAAACGTTTACGCTTGTTCAGACAAAATGGTAAGTTAATCATTTATCGTTTTATTAGTATCTGTAAATGCAGTTGTCGCTTATAAAACAGCCAAAACTTGTTTTGCTGTTGTAGAACTTCAGTTTGTCCGCACTCAATCAACTATTTAGTATCAACTACTTAGTAGCATATTGCGATACTTTTCAATTACGCTTCCAGTATTTTGCCAGAAAAAATGTGGCAATTATCAAGCCAGTTTTCAGCAGCAACTTCCCAAGGTTCATTCATCAATATGGAGTCTTCAGCTCACTTTCTTTTGAGGCACTATTCCAATCCATTTTGGGCCTCTGTTCCATTGAAACAAGTAAATGTTATTGCAGTGTTGAACGGGATCTTCCCTCCACTTCACATGTGGTGTGTCTTCCTTAGGAGTCACTTTCTCTCATCAAAACATGTTAGCTCCTATTGTGGAAGGACAAATTCGAAAATTGAGCATACATTTCCGTTTTCCTATAAGTTTCCAGTTAATTAACAAGTTGATTTTGACAAATATAAACCACTAATCTGTTTTGCACGCAAGTGTACCTAAAACACTTTACAATACAAGAATGTTTGTCCTCCAATGTCAGGAGAAGCTCTAAGGCAAAACCCAAATTTCACTCAAGAATTTACAGCGACTTATTAAAATTCAAAAAAAGTAGAGGAGCCAAGAAATCAAAGAATATCGCAGTACCTTTTGGATCATGTGCTTACTGAACACCCCTTTTAGTCTTTAGTTTAATCTCAGTTCTTTTACTTTATAGCCTGCTCCGGCTAGTTCGACCAGCGTAGGTGTACGAGGCAGATCTCCCGCAAAAGGAGGTGCTCCCAGGGCAGGAACAGGAGGCGCCGTGAGGCAAAGGAAAACCACAACAACCACCACTACAGCAAGGAGAAATACCGGCGCCGGCACTGGCGGTATGTGGAGGTTCTATACCGATGACTCTCCCGGCATTAAAGTGTAAGTATGTTATACTAACTTAAGTATATTAATTATTTAATTCTCTCGGATGGAGCGATCTGGAATTGCACATATTTTCGGTTGAAAACATTTTTTTACTAGCGCTGGATTGGAGAAAACTTCTACAACAGTTTTTTTTTGTTTTTACAGAGGCCCAGTTCCAGTTTTAGTAATGTCTCTTCTCTTCATCGCATCTGTATTTATGTTACACATCTGGGGCAAATACACCAGGTCTTAAGTTAGTAAACACGATTTTTCATTCCTTAATGTAGGTCTAATGTTCAATCTACATTGCATTTTTCATTCTTTTTAAGTCAACATTTTTACATATGTTGTTGGTTTTGTAGGATAAATGAATAATTCTATTTAAATAAATTATTGTACTTTTCATACATAACTGGATATTTCATTAAAAAATGCACTCCCAGATCAATATTGCTTAACTTAAATTTATTTCAAATAAATACGTACATTTTTCAGCTACATTGCTAAAAGTAACATTAGCAAATATTTACAAATTTAAAATATCCTATTAATACAGTTTCGTGTTATAATGTAAGTACTTGTCTATCTAACATGTGGATTCATCTGACAAGTATGCATTATGGAGGAAATTTGCATTGGCATTTTACATATTATCAAGGAAATTGCTCTGGACCACGCTATTTACTTAACT